AGGTGTTAAAGAGGACATCGACATGTTTTTTGCTTCAAACCAAGTGATTTCTTTAATCAGGGCATTAACAGCCCGACTGTAAGATGGAAAAGCATCATCGATAAGAATGGTGACTATTTAATTTAATAAATTTTTCGTTTTGATATATAAGTTGTTCGGGTTTTTTCATACAAAAAAAACGATATTAATTTCTTGATAACCTAATATAATCGTAACTCCTTAGGTTTAGGCAAGCATTCTATAGTTAATCAGAATAAGCTATCACGTAACAGTGTATTGTTCCTACCCAATAGAGACGCTGTTGGTACTATTAGCTCACTGGCTTCTGCAGACTCTATAGATTGCCCTGTTAAACGGGAGTGGTATAGTAAGAAATTGTACCGGGCCTCACTTTACAAGGAAACTCCCAATGAATTTTTTTTAGGAAATTTGTCCAGTTGGTATTAAATAGTAGACACGACAGGAATCAGTTTCAATTCGTGACTTTAAAACATTTATTTGACAATTATACTAGAACAATTTCATTAGTTTTTTGTTTTCCAGAAGTTTTAACCCGTAATTTTAGGAAGAAGCCAGGGATTGCCCCACTAAAGCTCAAGCCGGCTGTGCCAGAATATCATACGTTTTGTTACACATCATACAAATGTCGCCATGAAGAACATTACCTTTAGACCATTTCTCTAATAACTTGAGAATAGAAAATTAATGCATCAGGATAAAAATAATGTTGCAGAAACGTAATAGAAGAAGATTTTGGTGCTGTTTCTTTTAATTAAAGCGATAAAAAATAATCTGGCGATAAATAACACTTTTGTAAAACAAGAAGATGGTAATAATTGAGAGTTAAGGAAAGCAGGCTTTAAGCTATTAACCACATATATCAATATACCGTAACCTTAAAGGTAAAACAAACGCGTTTACACAAATACAACACATAAGGTTTGATACACATTTCAAGCAAATTCAGTGTGTAACAATACAGCACTGTGCTTTAGTGTGTTGATAGTTTCTTTTTTATCGTAAAGCTACACAGTGGTCTATCGGTGCTCCGTTTACCGTGGAAAATATAACCCCGAATTTTAGCATTTTATGTCCGGAAACTTACCGTTGACCCTCTTGGGGGTGGGGGGGGGTCCTATGCTTCAGATGCAGTTCATTAATTAACAAGCTAGTATACAGTATTTACGCAGCAGAGTTTATACCGTGTATAGTAAAAAAATGGTTAGGAAGAGAAACACATATCGGTGTTCATTAGGCTTAATAATTGTGATTAAAATAAGTTTGAAAGTATTTTTCTATACATCTCTCCTAATTAGTGTATTGTGGACTGAAAATTAGACCTATGTAAGAAGAGTGATTCAGATTTATATTTACTGAATACTGTAATAGGTTTAATAATAAGTAACGTAGCAAAACCACCTGCAGTAAAACGTGATATTTAAATCCCCATTATTAGGCTTAATGAGTTCAATTTCTATAATTCTATAATCAAGAGAATTGTGTCAAAAATATTTTAGTAAAAGAAAATTTTATTTGCAATTAATAGATCTAATGAAAATTATTACTTAGATAGCTTCATTTTTATGTAAATACAATAATCAGTATTATTACAGTAGGCACGGAACCCGATTCCATGGAGCTAGCTAATTATTTACTGGACTTTAAAACATTTTACTCGAAATCTTAAAAAGCGGTTGAAATCTGAGTTATTCTTAGCAATTGTTAATTAACTTTTGAGCTTTTAGATTCAATGCCTTATAAATTTAGTATATAATGCAAGCATATATTCGACATTACACCGTAAGTACACGTTAGTTGAACAAATCTACTTCTCAAGCAGTATCATTCGCCAACCACCTAAATTTCTTTCTATACCTCGAGAGCCCACAATAGGATCTATACAATATACATTACTGCTTCCTTTCCTGGCCCGCGTGGCCAGGTGGTTAGGGCGCTCGACTCACAATCCGAGGGTCGCGGGTTCGAATCCCCGTCACACCAAACATGCTCGCCCTTTCAGCCGTGGGGGCGTTATAATGTGACGGTCAATCCCACTATTCGTTGGTAAAAGAGTAGTCCAAGAGTTGGCGGTGGGTGGTGATGAGTAGCTGTCTTCCCTCTAGTATTACACTGCTAAATTAGGGACGGCTAGCGCAGATAGCCCTCGTGTAGCTTTGCGCGAAATTCAAAAACAAACAAACAAGCTTCCTTTCCATTAATTCATCCAACCTTTCTACGTACCTACCTGAAGGGAAGAACCCGCGAATCACAGATTTAGAACCTATGTATTAGATGTC